ATAGCGATATGGATCATATTCTTCTTCCCCTCCGAAAGGCGGCTCTCTGTGAGGAGGCGGCAGCGGCGGAGGTCCTCTAGGAGACTCAAGAGAAGCGCCTCCGCTGCTCTTCGGTGGCTGAATGGGTGGCGGGGGTGGAACGGCTCTGGGCGCAGAAGGAGGTGGCGGAGGAAGGCGGGCCTCTTGAGGGCTTCGTGGAGACTGAAGAGAATGATCATCGGTTATAGTACCCTCGTCAACGCTAGAATCGCGGCCATGAGATTTCAAGGCATCTTTGAATTTGGCCCCAGACGCGATATCCGTATCGTAGTCCCCATCATACTCGGTGACTTCTCCTTCAAGGTCTTCACCAGCTTGGCGAGGTTGCGAGACTGCGCTTGCTCTGCTATCCACAGTTGATCTACGGCGGATGTTGCCAGGAGGTGGCGGAGGAGGAGCCCTGCCCTGGAACTGTGGTGACATCGGTGGATTAGCTGGGATCGGCGGAGGCGGGCGACTCATTCTCTTCTCCGAGGGAAGAGTAGGAGACTTTGGAGAAGTAGGTTCGTAGGTTGAGGAACGCCGCGAATCGAGATGGTCAGGAAGGGGAGGAGCCGAAACCGACTGAGCAGCTGCAGGCCGTTCCTGCTCCGCTTCGGCGGCATTCAAAGAGAGATCCTTCGCACGTACAGAGAGTTCGTCGTCCGATTCCTCACCGAGATCAGCAGTAGCTGGTGTCTTAGGAGGAGGAGGGACAGGTCGAGATTCTCCTAGGTGTCAACGCTGCCTAACTCAAGATATAGCGGGACATAATCATTAGACTCACCACCTGGAACAGCTGGTGGAGACAGCGGCCGGTCCTGAGGAATTGGAGGCGGGGCTGGCCGGGTTTCTCTCGGCGGAGGCGGGGGTACTGGACGCTCTGTCAGATGTAAGTGATGGCCCAAAACGACTGCGATCATTGTCGGCAGGAGAAACAAGGAGGCGTACCCTGAGGTGCTGCAGGCCTCTCATCAGGAGCGCGACGAGAAAGATGATCCTCCACGACGTCCTCTACATCAGGAACTTCCCGAGGAGGATGCTGTTCGGTGATGGAAGCAGGCTGAGGCACATCCTCTTCCTTCTGTACGCTTGGAGAAGCTGCTGTTGGCCTAACGGCGTTCATTCCCGGCAGTGCCATCACGGGGACTGGTGGAGCAGTTGCTGGAGCAGTCAGATCTGAATCTTCCGTCTTTTTCTCCGTCTCCGCAGCCGCCTTTGTCTTGCGAGGTCCTGCGGCCGGAACAGGCATGCCACCAGGTGGACCAAAGAACCCCATCATACCCATACCACCGCTCATCTTCGCCATTCTTTCCCTAAGCTCCATCCTACGCTTGATTTCGGGGTCAATCTCTTCTTCTTCCTCTTCTTCGTCACTCTCATCTCCCTCGTCCGGTTCAAGCTTGTCGCTAGGCTCTCTCTGTTTCTCAGGCTCCGGTGCTTGACGGATCTCGGTCCCAGAACGATCTTCGAGGTCCTCCTTGCTTGTTGAAGTCTCTTCCGCATCTTCGGTATCGGCGGCGGCGGAATAGTCAGCGTCGTTAGCATCACTGGCAGGCTCTAGTCCAGACGGGGGCGTTCCTAGCTGTCCCTCAGGGAGAGGGTCAGGCTTCACGGTCTCGACACTGTGATCCCTCGCCGACGGAGCCGCACCAGAGCTTTCATGCTCCTGTTCTTCCACGGCGGTGCGGTCCTCGTGAGATTCAATACGCTGCTTTGGGGGCCTCTTAGCCTTCTCCTTCTTCTGAGCTGCTTCAGCATGGCGAGCCGCTTGCTCCAATTGCTGCTTCTGCAGAAGAGCAATTCGCTCCTTCAAGCTGGTTGGCTTTGGCTGATCTTCCGCCCCTTCTTCAGTTGCTTCAGTGGGTGCAGGTCTGCTCTCAGAAACCGGAGGCTCGCGCATAGCACGCTCCTGTACTTCTGTATCTTCTTCCCGCCGATAGATCTTCGGAGGCGGCTCTCTGGGCGGAGGCACATAGGAATTCTTGCTTGGGGGTGGCGCAACAAACGGTTTCTTGATGAACGACGTCGGATTCTGGCCGCCGAAGCCTCCTGGCTTGTAAGGCGCGATAGGCGGCGCAGCGGGTTTGTTGAAAGCCGCGATCCGGTCCTTAAACGATGACCCACTAGGTTTCTCTGCAACCGGGGGAGGTGCTGGTTTATATGCCGATTTGGTGGCTGGCTCTTTCGGCTCACTTGGGGCCGAGGGAGCGGCTGGCGGCGCTGCCGGAATGGCAGCTTGAGCTTGAACTGGCTGTGGCGGAGAAGAGACCCCAGGTGCCGGCGCTTGCGCAGTACTCGGAGGCGATCTGGGCGTTTCGAGAACGGGCTCCTGTTCGAGTGAAGGGGCGCTCTCCGGTGCTGGCACCGGAGAGGGAAGGAGTTCTGCATGAGTTTCCGCAGCAGCGGGTTCGGAGGGAGCGGCAGCATTGGCTTCTTTCTTTGGTCTGCTAGGGCGTGTCGGCCGGGGGGGTGCAGGAGGTTCATACTTCTCCACGAAATTCTTCGGGAAGATGCCTTCTACCTTGACCCCCGAGTCATTCGTGTACTCGCCAAAATACCACTCTGCATCTTCCTCGGCAGTAACGGTTATGATTTGGCCGATTGGGAAATTAAGGTCATCATCATGGTCCGAAGTGTACTCGAAGACCGATTTGACCGTGAACGGCGGGCTGGACATCTGGCAAGCCGAACTCTGTTGCAAAGAAATTGTGATGGTGTCGAAATATCAGGCTAATTGACACGAAATGGTAAGGTGGAAGCGGTGCGGGTGGTCCACAAAGGACGGACAGAGAAAGGAGCTCTGTATGTTATCAAGAGAAGCCTTCCTGGACGATCTCAATGCAGTCGGTCATATGGAAATGCACTTTGCGAATGAAGGAATGTATGCTGGATGCAAAGGAGAGTAATCTGTCAGCCTGATCGATCCAGAGTATGTACGTCAGAGTATATGCCCCTAAGGCAAGCGAGCACCCTGAGACTGATCACTGAATTAAGTCACTCAGTATACAAAGGCGCACTTAGATGAGACAAAGTGCCAGTGTGATTTAATGCCAAGATGTAGAAAAATAACGGGACGAGTAGTTTAGAGAAGATGAAGATGAGGAGACATCGAGGGGAATCACGGAGGTGGCAGTAGGCTCGTAGCAGCGAGTGGTGGTCGTCACTGTCAGGCGGGACAGGGAGCTCCACCATGGGCGATCAGCGGCTACCTAATAACACTGCTCACTTCTGATTCACTTCTAGAGAATGGTGATTATCCGTTAACAAGCCACACTGGATTAAGGCACTACTACTTCTGAGTACTCGAATTTTCAGCCGAATCTTCCTTTGGCTCTTGTTTTAAATTGAATCTCAACTACATCATCCCACTGCTGGCTCGCAAAACCTTTCATTGAATCCGGGGTTTGCCTCGTGCCAACCTGACAAACACCACTACTGTATCGGCTTCTTTTTCTTTGCTTCTCTTATTCTGCTACTGAGCACAACGATAGTGTCGCTGCTGAGGTCACCCATATTAAAAGCGCGTCATGTCTGCAAAGAAACCTATTCTCAAAACTTCTCTTCCAACTGCACATGCAGCMTCCTCACCAGCAGGACTACAAAAGCCCAGCAATGCCCGCCGTGCGCCACCCAAGTCAAAGGCGCCCGAGCAGCAAAAGGGCCAACCTATGAACAGGCCAAACGTCGATCCACGACATCTCGCAATCGCCATGCACCATGCGCACCAGATTCAGGCACAGAAAGACACAGAAGCTCTAATCTTAGACCGCATCCTCGAGCTCGTCAATTTTCCTTCTTCGCCGTCAGCAGACCCCGCCGCTCCGTCTGCCGAAGATGCTCGAGCTTTCAAAGCAGCCCTTGTACCTTTCCAGCCTGCCGACTACGACAATTTGATTCTTGAACGGAACATCGAGGGCCTTTGTGGATATGGTTTATGTCCCAACGAGCACCGCAAAGAGGACGTTAGAGGCAAGTACAGGATCACATGGGGCGCCAAGGGTAGTGGTCCTGGGGGTCGCGGCCGCGAGATGAATATTGTCCCAAAAGAGAAGCTGGAAATGTGGTGTTCGGATGAATGCGCCGAACGAGCGATGTATATACGGGTGCAGTTGGCAGAGGAACCTGCATGGGAGCGCCGGGATGGGAACCACGGCAAGGAGCTCGTATTACTCGAAGAAGACAGAGCAAGGGCACGAAAGGGAAAGAGCAAGATGAGCAGTTCAGCCACCTTGAAAGAAGTCACTGGTCAATTGGAAGACCTCCACATGGGAGGAACTGAAGGGCCGAATGATCTTGCCAGCGCCATCTCTGGCATATCCCTTCTTGATGCCGCTCGCTCTCGTGAGCTTGCCATGGAACGTGGAGATGCAAATCCAGCTCTTCGAGCCGGCAGAGTGGATATAGCAATTCGGGAGAATGAGGATGTTTCCCACGAGGTCACGCCTCCGCAAATGCGGCCAGGCGATGACAAAGGAGGCTCCATTGAAGGCTACGTGCCCAAGGAAATGTGACCTTGATATGCATCAATCTCGTCAGGTTTGACATGGACCTGGTCGCGACAGAGTTCGATGGGATGCTTCGCTTTGCGGTTCTACGGCGTCTTTTTGTTTATGACGATACCCAATTTACTGTTGTAGATAGACTGGAATAATCTGAATCTGATCCAGTGCGGTGCAGTTGATGGTGCAGTTCGCACAAAAAAAAGTTGCGATTCTCCGATGACATCCTGCACGTCATGCAGACAGAACCTTCTACGCATCGTCCGCTCTGAGGCGGACAGTAAGCAAAAGGAGAAATTTTGGCAATCAAGCGTCATCTCCACCAGGAGAATCGGCGACACCTTTCTCAGCGACATTATGTTCATTCCTGTGTCTCTAGGCTACATGATAGCTGCAAAGCCAGCCAGACCAAGAATAATTGAGCACGCCATAGATCGACCGAAGACAATCATTAACTTTTTTCATCGAGGGTGTGCGCATCTACCGGAAGCGGCGGGGGCGCTCCTGAACCTGCTGCTGGGAGACGTTGACAACGTTGACCTTGAGGTTGTCGAACTGTAGTGGAGAAGATTAGTTAACGCACTGCTTTTAAACCATGAGCAACCGCGCTGAGAAGCTGAACTTACGCCCATGGACTTGAGGAGGTCCTTGGTGTCGGCATCGACATCGAGCTGGCCGGACTCGGTCTGGGAAACATCCAGAGCGGAGACCTCAGGAACGTACTGATCCTTGCGCTCACGCTCCTCCTCCTGCAGCTTGAAAGAGATACCGCGGACAGGGCCACGCTGGATACGCTTCATAAGGTGGGTGGTGTAACCAGCGATCTGGTTTTTCGTCAGCAAGTCATATTCCGACTGCTGTACGTCTCAATATTAGATTGCATACCTTGTTGCGAAGACGCTTGGAGGCAATGATAGCGATCTCATCGCAAAGACGCTTGTTGGTCTCGAAGTCGAGCGTCAACTTGGGGTAGTAGCGCTCGATGATGACCTTGGCGGACCTCTTGACTGTCTATTGAAGAAGAACCCGTTTCGTCAGAATTGACACTCTTTTGGCGCTCACTTGAAGATAACTCATGGTGCTTTCTCTGTAACTTACCTTGGTTCTAACGCGACCCATTTTGGCGGTTGTGTGCTGGCGGGATGGATGTTCGGAAGACGAGACCTAATCCATTCTATTTTCTTGCTATATTGGAGAGTCTGGTGTGCGGAAACCCTAATTATGATCACATGATAAATCTTACCCTGACTGAAACGCCAAGACATTAGTCTCAAATTCGCATCGGAGTGCGCCTTTCCCAATGAGGTAATTTTGTTCCTCAGCTTATCAACGGAGTAAACAGATTAGTGCTCATTGCAAGACTTGCGCCATTGAGCACACTCCTCTGTTTTGAGTTCAGAATGACACTCGAAATGTTCCTTTGCCTCCAGAATTTAATTTACATAATGCATCCAACTTTATATCACTAGACCAGTAGGAAATAAGAGTAACCTAATCGTACAGCCAGCCCTCCATATCACCAGGTATAGACCTCGTGACAGACAACTTAAATAGAACTGAGGGTCCTCAGAAGGTTTCGTGCAACGTCCTCTCTACCTTTCTCGGGCTGATCCGATGCAGACATATCCTGTCCCCTCCGAGCATAGGGCAAGTTTGCCAATTTGTCCAACCTGGGCACCACACGCTGGTCCGCACGGGCGACCGGGGAAATACTTGTCAAGGTCGGCTTCTGGTATTCCTCAATACCATAAGGCGCCTTAGCAGTGGCGCTAGCCCGGTATGACGCGAGGCCGATTCTACCGTCCGAGTCCACCGAAGCACGGATGGGAGTAACCCAGTACTTCGCACCACCCGGGATGGATGCGTCGAAGTACGCAAGACCTGCTGGCGAGCCTTGTTCAATGAAAGTCATAGCGTTGAGATCTTCCACCGCGATACCACCAACACCAGCAATGGCCTTAGATGTTTTACCCTTGAACCGACCCTTCGGCCGCAGGATACGGGCCTGCACAGGGCGTTGGTGTGCCTGGGGACCGAATTTCGGGTGGTTGTAGATCAGAGCGTGAGATCGCGTATATGAGAGACCAGCAGAAGGGTGTGTCTTCGGGGGACCGGATACAGCATACTCCGCAGAGGAGAGTTTAGTACCTGGAGATTGGTAGTACTTGTGTCCGATACGGTCGCTAGGGACGGCGGGGGGTGATGGAAGATCCAACAGTTCGAAGACGACGGGGCCAAGAGAGAAGGGATCGGTTCGCAGCGATTTGATGTACTTTTGGAACTCTTCCTCGGTGACGTTGAGCGGACCAAGCGCTTCTAGATCCTCGCCGTTATCCTGGGCTTGCTTTCTGCGTTCAGCAGTTCGCTTGGCAATGAAGTGTTCACGAAGCTTCTGCAGCAGCTCAGGCTTCCTCGCGCGCACTTTATTTAGATAAGCATTGAACTCCGCCTCCGTCTGTCCCGCGAGCCAAGGCCCAGAATGTCTGAACTGTTTGGCACCAGGCTCCTGAAGGCCTTTGCTCGTATCTGTATTGTCAACCACGGATTCGAAAGGGCTCTGGTGTCTAGGCACCATGCTAGTCGCGTAGTTGACCTTGGAAGGAAGGGACATGGGCATGTGAAGCTCTTGGAATTTCTCCAAGGTCACCGTGTGGTCGGCGGCGGATTCGAAGTCTGTGACATGTTCAAACGTGTCGAGTACGTTGAGGCGGACGACAGGCCGGGACGACTTTTCCGACGTCGACTTTGCAGGAAGCGGTCTCTTCAACCCCCAATCTCCTCTCGCTAGCGACGAAGCCGGGGTGACAATGGATGCTCGGATCGGATGAGGCAGGGTTGCGGTGTCGGATTCGTAAACAGTCTTCGAGGTTGCATCTTGCTGGGGCAACGGTAAGGCTGAAGGAAGCGCGAAAAGACGGGACTTCCGAAGAAGATTCGCCGTCGGCGATAACCTGGCTGTCGCCATGGGCGTTATTGAGGACAATTACAGTGTCTCGATGTTGTTTCTTCGATGCGGAGTGCACTGGAGAAAAGTTGATTGCACCATGCATGCCAAGCCGGGTACGGTGAGCGGCAGCGCGCAGATGCGCAAAGTATTTGATTGCATTTCCCCAATAATTAAGTTACGGAGTTACACCGTTGTATCTCTGGAAATGATGAATGATCTAGAGAGGTATATTATTACTGTTACTTCGTCATGGACTTCAACATAATTTAAGTATTTCTTTCCAAGGCCAAAACTGTATATGCATTGAGCTCTAATTTCTATACTTGGCTCGACCTTTTCTTGCTGTTTCATGCCCCAACAGCCAACAACGACTTGACTGTGTCTGTAACCGATTGCTTCAATGACCGGTACTGGATACCCAAGACCTCGATTGATTTCTTGTTGTTAAAACCGTATACATCAGCTGGGGTATCATCTGGCAAGTCCTTAGAGGGTAGTCTATCAGCCAGCTCAGGATATGCTTCGCGAATGATATCAGCGACAGCCTTATTTGAGAAATAGCCGGCTGTGACGAAAAATCTTTGGCCGCCTGCTTCCGGGACTTCGATAGCTCTGATGTGTGCCAGGGCAACATCACGGACATCTACCCACAGGAATATGCCTGTAGGGGGAAGGCCGTCTTTGCACTGGCCACGGACCATATCAGCAATCCGTTTATTGGAAGTGTTTATGGCGTCGAGTGAGTTCAAGTAATGCACGATTGGACCCAGCACCAAAGGTGGGTTGATGGTTGCAATGTCAAAGTTGGGTTTTTCTTTTTCCACAAAGTCCCATGCAGCCTTTTCTGCGAAAGTCTTGGGGTAGGCGCATACGTTAGCCAAGCACAATGCGAATTACCAGGCTGTATACATACCTTACTACCTCTGTACGTTGCAGAAGGATCCAGCGCTTCTTCCCAGGTAACGGGGTTCCAGCTCTCCTCGCTGTACTCCTTGGCATGCTGCTTGGGATTGACGATCGCCGCAAAAGATGAGGTGATAACGACTCTCTTGACCGTCGGTGCGTAGGCCTTGATCGCCTTGAGGATACCCGTCGTCCCCTTAATTGCAGGATCCAAGAAATCCTTCACGGGATCGGTAATATTGAAGTGGAAAGGAGAGGCAGTGTGAAGGACATAGTCGAATGGTGGATTAGATTTGACGGCCTTGACAGCGATTAGCTTAGAATTGCTGGACGGGTTAAGCCAGAGTAAGATTGACGGCCTCAAGAAAGAAAAAGCACTCTTACCTCATCGAAAGCTCCATCTGCTGCGACATCTTTGACAATAACAAAAGACAGCTTCTCCTTTGGCGTATTGGGATGAGCTTCGAGAATCTTCTGGCCCTTCTCCTCGGATCGAACAGTTACCACGACATCATATCTGTATTGCATCCCGTCAGCTCACCCAGAGCAGCCCATGGCTATAGGTATCCTGCACTTACCCACGTGCCAGCAGCACATCGATACAATGAGCAGCGATGAAGCCACTTCCCCCTAGACCGAGCATTAGCCTGCAGACCTAATGACTAGGATAGTACTTGAAGATGCTTACCAGTCAAAAGAACTTTACCCATCGTGCCAGAGATTGAGAAGGGTCTGGTTGCATCAAATGCCTAAGTGCGGGATACAAGTCAACGCATGTCCCTGAGGACGCACACTGTCTTTAAGTAGTCTTGCATCCCACGTCTTTCGTGATCTTCCCCACTATTATTGGGACCCAGCGTTGAGGTTGTCATTGGGTTCGCAAATGAGGTGCCGCGATGATTACAAATATCACAGAAAGTTTGCGTCAATCAAGGCGGAGATAGATGGAGTGAAGACATCGCTAAGTCCGTCGGATTAATCTCCTGGAGTTAACACTCGGGATGAAGTCCATTCAAAATCACAAGCTTTTTTGGGCCTGAGCCATTTGGGGAGGGGTAAGATATTGGTTTGGTGGGGTTTCCCCGAAAAGCAAATGACGTCGGAGCCGAACACTGACATAAGGAGGTACTTCAGACGATATCAGGAGTCAGTTCTCCGGGGTAACATGGCCACTATAACAGACTAGATTGGAAATGGGCTCCGAATAGATAAGAGACTTTTATAAGTTGCAACTAGCCAATAAGTAGTCGATTATGGCTAATCCATGCCAGCATATCACTTTCAATATCTTGACCCTCGCTCTAGAATCAGAACTATATCTCCATAGGAATACATGGCTGATTCCTCGACTAACCCGGAGAGAATTACTCCTTTATCAGTTCTGAACTTCTGGGTGTACTTGTTTCACAGATGACCTGCTGCACCCCGAATCTGCCGGGTTGACAGCCCCCTTGTGCTCCTTCAAGAAAGAGAGGAATGCACAACTATCTCAACACTCTCCTGTGCCAATTGGCCCAAGTAATCGGTGTGAATCTCCTCAGAGGCACCTTGGGTGTAGCTGGATTGCAAACAGAAGGTCTTCAAAAGTTAGGAGTCACCGCAAGCTTGCCACAAACAAAGGCGAAGTAATAAAGGACCTGCCTATGGTCAGAATTCGCGTGCATAAGGATATACTGTGCTCTGGGACCAGAAACATCTACTGAATGGACTGGCGCCGGACTTGATAGACATCAAGAATGTCTCGTCCTCGAGTAGAGCACCCCTGCCCAAAAAGGTCAACCATGTTTGGAAATTGTTCCTTGTCAGAGGTCACACACGCGACAGGGATTCACGGCAATGGATCCCTAGACTGCTTGCTAATCGTGAGATGTATGCTCGTAGAATGTATTCAACCATTCATTTTGAGAACATGGGATTCTCACAGTGCTTTTGTTCCATTGTGGAATGCTTGTTATCAGGAGCAGTACTGCAGGAGCAACTATGTAAATAATAGGTATTGATTGTAGCGGAAAGTATGAATTTGGGCTCTGCTCTAGAACATTGCTTGCGGACACGTGCAAGAGACCAGGGTCATCTGATGAGGTCACATTTGGGATCCCGAGTAGTGCCCGAGTCCATGGAACAGAAAGCTTCGATTTGCACAGTCTGGAATTCAAGTTGTTGACAAATGAAGCGCATAATAAGAGCTCCTAGCATCTTTGAACTTTCGAAAACTCTAATCAGCTCGCGTTCCGAAGCATTTATTGACCGATCCAGGCGGCTTGTGTGT